GGCATGTCATCCAAAAATGTGACTTTAACGTCACATAAACCCTCGATTAAAACAGATGAGGGCGACTGTGCAGTCGGCTCTCGTCCTCTCTTGTCCTTATGCCTACCCTTCCAGGAACATCGAAGAGGCGGCTCCCGAATCCCCCCACTTTGATATCTCTTCCAGCACCAGTACGAGAGTCTGGTCGTTCCAATGAAGAGCCCGCATCGTCGCATTCTTCACGATCTTCCTCCGATAGTCACTCCTCGGGTAGTCCTGGATCATCTCAGGGGCTAACGTCTTCGCAATCAAAACTTTCCTCGGGGTCCATCTCCCCACCCCAGGAGTCTTCTCCAGAGTCAAGTCGACATGCTTCAGAAGTGACATTCGCTTTACCGCCTCCGAACCGCGCCATCCCCTTGAAGCGACACTCGCCTCTTAATCCTGCATCTTTTTCCAGCCTCCCTTTTTCTCACCCGAAGCCGCAAACGAGACCTAGTATCAGTCCATTGATACTAGAAAGCTACAGGAAGAGCTCCACTTCTTCTCGTTCGTTTGGCTCGCGCCTGCACTTGAATCGTAGCACCACGGATGAAAACTTCTTTTCTCCACCAGCCTCACCTTACACTCCCAGCTCCTCCGTATCCTCTACATTGGGAGGATCGAGTCTTTCCCTTCTACCAGACGGGAAACATGGATCCGTTCTTCTTACGAAGGACGGCAACCTGATTCCTTTCCCGTCTGACCTATATTTGGTTGATAACGAGCCTATGAACGATGAAGACATGGCTTACACTTCTAATGAAAAGTTATTTCAAGTCGGCAATTATAACGTTTCCCTGCGGGGTATAGGCAATATTGTCACACTTGTCCTCCTGGTTACCGCCATTGCCGCATTGTTCATAATATATCCCATATTTTCAGTTCTATCTTTACAGCAGTCAGAATACTGGAGATATCGAACAACGGCAATTCAACCAATCTAAATGCCAGAAGTCAATCGCCTCTATCGTAAGTCGTGCGCACTCTAAGAATAAACGTACATTCATTCCCGATCTCTATGAGTTATAGCATGGACTCCGGTAGTAAACACCCATCGGACGTTCTCAAAGTTGGAGCATCAGAGTACAAGCTGACTTTTGCCGACGAATGGGAGATGGATGGGAGGCGTTTTGGCCCAGGTACGTTCGCGATATGCTTCCTAAACAGTGAATATATCCGTTTGTAGGCCAGGACCAGGACTGGATTTCCTCGATCAACGACGATGCGAGTACGACGAGACAAGGATATCTTATATTTGGTCAACAAGCACACCTGCAAACGCGTATCCCGCAATGCCTCCCTGACGGCGGGTTCATTGACGTTGGCTTTTTCGTCGAAGGTATTCAGGAACGATGGCACGCCTACGTGAGCCTTTCTGTGGTGTCACAATATTATTGATTTCACACCCGCTGTGCTATCGCCATAGTGGTCGGGAAACTGGTCCGTCATAAGAGCCGATGAAGATGGCGATGCGCATTTGACGGATGCGCTGCATATATCCAGTGTCAGAGGGCCGTTCGTGGTAACGCTGCATATGGAATTCGATAGCGGTGAGTCGCCGGGTAGCAAGCCGTTTGGTTCGGTCACTTAACTTTTTAGGAGTTCGTTCACAAGTGGCTGTGGATTACGTCCGGTTCTACTCACTTCGGACACAGTACGCTTGCGTGGATGATGCTCCTCACGTCGCTCTTTACTTGAATTTGAGCGAGCACGGAGTAAATCATTCATACTCCAAATCACGGCCCGCTAAGTAACCCGTGTGTTGATTTTGTTAAGAGAACGAACGATCTATTACTCGTCGCATACCGGACACCTATTATTTTCATTTCTAATGCCTAGATTGATAGAGTAGTTCTTTTGTAGTGCTGCCAGAGGCGGAATATTGGGCGAACCAATTAGAACGCCGTTATTTTCCGATATAAACATGTACAAATTGAATTTGATCCTTCTTTCTTCCAAAAATGCTCGCCTGGTGGGGTGAGTTGAGCTTAGAGCCGCACTTGACCCTAAATGGCTGTGATCTATCTGAGCAGCTTACGGCCACCAACCAAGTGAACAGCGCTGCATGTTACATCGAGCGTCACGGTAATCTCGTGGTGCACGACACACCGCAAGTGTTCATATCGCTACCATCGACCCTTTCAGGCTCTCAAAACAGCATTCATACCCACCATCTATGATAAGCGACTCTGGTGCCGATGCATCCAGATTCCAATCGTAACACAATCTTTCGCATTCAATTAACGCCCTACCTCGACTCTCCTAATCCTTTTCAATTTGACGCCATCACGCGCGACCTACTTGAGTCTGGCACGATACTCCAAATCGGGCGGTTTACGGACCGTGGCGGATTAAGCTCCTCTGAAATCAATTCCCTAGGAACCGATAGACTCGTCTTCAAGTCCAAAGTCGTCTCGCGCAAACACGCCCAGATTTGGGTTGGGAATGGAGGGAAATTCTTCATCAAGGATACCAAGTCGTCCGGTGGAACATTTCTGAACAATCGTAGGCTTAGCCTGGCAAATCAGGAAAGTATCCCGTTTCAGCTCAACGACGGGGATATTTTGCAGCTCGGAGTCGATTACCGGGACGGAACAGATGATTTTTGCAAGAACGTAAAGATCAGGGTGGCGTTATGGACGGTGCGGGAGGTGGACACTTCCCAGTACGCATTCCATATCTTTTCACTTTTTTCTTCAGGTTTTGACGATCTCTCCTAGGTTGACCGTTGATAGGCATCATGCCTTACTCCGGACACCCGTATCAGCCTCTCCTACGTTTCAAGAGTCGGGGTCGGATGAGTCATTACATGATATTAATTTGCAATACATCCGGCGGCGGCGCTCCCAAGAACCGCTTCCCGATGAAACGGTTGACACCACGCCTGATTATCAGCAACAGAGCCATGAATCTTCGTAAGTATGCTTTGATCCATACTCTAGTCCTGCCAGTGGTCGATTAATGATATTTCAGCGCACTCTCGTGAGCGACTTAGCCCTGTATTGTATTCTACATCTCAATTACTCTTAGTCCATCCTTAGTTCTACCGCTGCTACTTGCGCTCCTCAAAGCAGAGGTACGCACCTGGAAGATACAATAGCAGTCAACTCATGATTGCCAGCCGATCACTCCCAATAGCTCAAAAGTGGGACAATTGCCCATCCAACTTATGAGCACATTATTGACTCTAGGAAACTATGACGCTACCGCTTCCGGAATCAACGCTGACTCTGACGTGGAATTATTACTTGATTTCATTATATACGTAAGTTTGTTTGTATCACATCAGGTAGACTTGACGTATTTCACTATGAAGTTGCTCGATAAAGATCATTTGTCAAATCACACCATGCCAGACGCGAACCGAAAAGCCAGGTGGCTCATGTTCAAATTATTGGCTCAGAGACCGGTCACACCAAAGTCTCTTTTCATTACGGGCGTCGCAGCCGAGTTGAACCTTGGTTATCTTGGTATTGGCGGCTTCGGGTGCGTATTCAAGGGTGAATATCGAGGGAAGCAAGTTGCTGTGAAAGTATTGATTGATGGCCATAGAAATGTAAGTTACGCGCAACATCTCCGAACGAGTTCGTGCAGGTTTTACCTTATCAACCAGGATTCTGTGAATAAAGACTTTTGTCGAGAAGCCTTGGCATGGCGGTCGTTATCTCGTGATCAGCATATCCTTCCACTGCTAGGGATCTTCGAAGAGGGATCACGATTATTCCTGGTTTCGCCGTTCATGGAGAACGGGACGTTGGGTAGGTGGAGAAGGAGCCGGCGACCAAATGTCGAGGAGATACAGAAGCGGGTACGATTACCATATTCCGCGTTTTGTCATTCATTCTTTAACGTATCAACATTTCCTCAGATATTCGAAGTAGCCGAAGGTATGCAATATATTCACTCTCAAGGAATCGTTCACGGCGATTTGCGTGGGGTTAGTATCTTTAAAGCACTTTCACAATCGTTGACTCTTCTCTCTTTAGGAGAATGTTCTACTAGATGCTTCTTTCCACTCGCGAATCACTGATTTTGGATTGACAAGGCATTCAGATGTTACAATCACCAATTCTGCTACATCATTAACGTTACATTTCGCTGCTCCAGAGCTATTCGGAATGTGCAACAAATGTGGCCAGTTCGAATGTGATTGCCGCGGTACGGATTTGAAGGATACACACATGAGAAGAAAAACTTCCCAAACGGATGTCTACGCGTTCGGCTGCCTTTATTACGAGGTGAGCTCCAGTCACAGTACGGCGAGTCGGTCCTTAAGGGAACATGTACAGATTTATTTCGGCATCGCACCATTTTCAGATCTGGGCGAGTATCAGATAATCAAGCGTGTCACAGATGGGGAGCGTCCTTGGCGATTAGAGACCCCCAGGATGGGAGATGTTACGTGGGATTTGATTCAGAATTGTTGGGCTCCCAATCCGTCTGCCCGTCCGAATATGGAAGACGTTGTAGTGGAAATGACATCCATCTTGCGTACTTGAAAACCAAATGTATTCACCAAGGATTGTGAACACTGAATAGCTTAGTGGTTGACGAGCTCTAGAGGCCCCCTTGAAGCTCGTCCACCACCGACGCTGGATCCCAGGTAGTCTGCGCCATAGCTATAAGATCAATCGTAATATATCTCTAGCGTCGCATTCGCATGACTGAAATGGTTGCTTTTAGTCGTTACCAGGCAGACGTGGACTCAGAAGTACGGCCCGGGACTCTGTTATCGATCACGTTCAGCCACAGCCGTAGAAATACGAGTTGCGAAATATTTCATCTCACATGCGAGAAACCCGTATCCACATGCTGGAGAACAGATGATGCTTCGATGAGTACGTGGGTAGAGGACAAGTTTGCATGCGGTGGAGAGGGGCGTTTTTATCCGATCCACACCTGTGACCTCCCTTTGCCTGAGCTACCCTTGGACAGTAGATTCCTAAGAGCGTTTTCATGGCTTATAAAAATTCACCTTATGTCCGTAGCTGGAGTCGAACCAGCGGCTTCTCGGAATTGCGATCAACCACAACGAGATGATTTAACCACTAATCGATACAGACCTTGATACGCAGCAGTGATTTATAACGCATAATATCACGTATTTCGGCAACGCCGGAGTTTGATCCCCTTAAACACATGATGCGCCCACAGCGCGCGCGTTATTGTTATAACCTCGTCGTCTGCTTTCACTGGCATCTTTTACTTGCCAGCAAAGTTCATTAGGTGGCAAACAGTCTGTCCAGAAAACCAGGGGCTAGCGGATTTGAGAAATTTCAGGGCCAGCGCTCTCTCTACCAGAATGTTGTGCGCGGCATTAGAATTTCAACTTTGACACTTTATGAATTACCTTTGTAGTTGCGTGCACCGTCGATTGTGCTGGTCAGCCCCCTCTTCGAATGATCATTGTTTGTTCCTATTTACGATATAACCATTACGCGGACTACCCGGCTTTCAAATTCAAGTTGCACACGTTCAACCACCTCCTGCGACAAAATGAGCTGCAAAACGATACCAACTGAGATTCTATGCCAAATTTTCCTCTCTCTCTGCAAAGAACCTATTGCCATCCACGTGCTGGACAACAAATCGCACTTCGACGTATTCCCGTGGGCTGTAGGACAAGTTTGCAAACGCTGGAGAGATATATTTTTATCTTATCCATCCCTGTGGACTTCCCTTTCCCTGGAGTACGTCATTGATAGGAACATTCAAGATGCAGACTTGGATCCGGGTTTTGCTGAAATGAATCGACGTACAACATTGTACATAGAACGATCCAGGCAGCTGCCACTTGCCATAATCGTTAACGTTGCTATTCAGAACTTCATTTCCGATCCGGAGTTAAGTCAACGATTTCCTAGGGCTGCGTGGAGATCATTGCTGTCATGCTCCAATAGGTGGAAAGGGGCGGATCTGGTGCTAAGAATCGAGCGTACCATGGTTGACGATCTTCTTGAATGTCAAAATAAATTCTCAATGCTTGAGTCGATGAACCTGGAAGTAATGACTGAATACAAAGATTCCAAACAACGGGGCAGCGCGTTTGCGATGGCGCCGCGCCTTACCGAGCTTAAATTTAGACACTATAGAGCGAATTGCAGATGGCTTTTTCCTTGGTCGCAGTTGAAGAAGCTTGACATAGAAATGTATGACGACTGGGATGCTGTTCTATCGCAGCTCCGAAACGTAGAGGAGCTACGGTACTTCTCTTACGTCGGTTATCCGGATTCCGATCCTTCATCTGCAATACGGCTTCCCCACGTCCGGTTCTTGGAAGCTCCCATGATTTACTCTGGCGGGCTGTTCGATCGGTTCGAAATGCCCTTACTGGAACATCTCTGCCTGTATGGCTGTATGCCACGCTTTGTTTTTGCAGAGGAGGGGTGGAAGGCGCAAATGGCATCATTGATCAATCGCTCGTCCTGCCGCATTCGCTGTTTGACGCTTCAATTCGCTGGCTACAAATTGACACGCGATATTGCGGAGATGCTATCTACTAGCATCGAGCGCCTGTGTATCAAGGACCCATTTGGAGAGGTCATTCATCCGTGTATTCGGTTCATTGCCGATTCCGATGATGGTGTCCACTTACCCAATCTGCAAGAATTGGAGGTAATATGCTGCCCTGGACAAGTTAGCAAGGGGTGTTTGGCAACGATACTTTATCTTTTGAAAGTACGGGGCAAAGCATCGAGGTTGGCACTTGGGGTGGTACCGCTCAAAAAAGTGACGGTCCAATTCAAATTAAGATATTGCAATCTGCAGGCGCAATGTTGCGGGGGCTTGAGGGAGGAAGCGAAGATTGAGATGCTGGATAAAGTGATGGAAACGATGCGCAGTTGGTCATCTATTGCTGACATATCCTTTGACAAGACACATTCCCAGATCAGTATTAAACCACATTTTGAAGAATAGTCGATAGTCAATGTAATATGAGCTGTTGTCCTGCTATTACCCTGCGCAGCAAGGTCACCCGCAAGGTAATAAATTCACAAAAACTGCAAAACGTGGGAAACATTCAAGATAAGATGATAAGGCACCACTTCGACTCGGTTTTCCTCTTCATCCTTCCTGTGTAGAGAAATCGGGCGCAAGGTTCGTGTCGGCGCTCCAGCGACAACATGGACGCGAAATGCGACTTGCGGCCTGCATTGCCCTATTGACCCCTATTTACGCCCAAACTCAATCATCAACGGTGATCGATCACCGATCCACCGGCAGCTGATCAAGATCCCGATCACGTCCCTGTGGCTGTACCCATTCTCCTGATCGCACGTTCCTCATTCAACAAACCGCGCGTACACAGGCGTACACGTAGTAAAACCACGACATTCCCAATTGTACTATTACATATCCCATTGAACCCGTAAAAACTGAAAGAAAAAAAAACCTCCACACCCGAACACCGGAAAACACCTTATCACCGCGCCAAGCCATCAATCAAATCGCAAAAAATTACACATCATCACGATCGTCGTCTCCATCACAACAAATCACGAATCACACGTGTATCGTGTCCCCCTAAGCATGCGTACTCTCACTAACTCCTTCCGAATCAAAATACCCTCCTCCTGGCGGACCTTCCAACCCAAGCCCAGGAGGATTATCCTCCCCACCACCAGTCCTACCCACCGACCTCGAGCGCGGTGTAACCGAATACAACTCGAGAGGTGATACGACATAGCTCGCGTCTACTCCTCCCGGAGAGGGTGGTGGTAAGTTTGCTATTAGCGCCGGGGAGGAAGCTAGAGGGTTGTCGGAAGAGATTGGTAGAGAAGGGAGGAGACTAGTCGTAGTCATAGCAGAAGAAATGCCGGGAGTAATAGTAGACCCAGACCCAGACCCAGATTCGAGCGCGAGAGGGAGCGAAACAGACCTCGTTATACTCTCTGGAAGGAGCGGTAATTCGGGCGGTCGTAGTCGTTCGCTTCTCCTATTCCCTCTTTCCCTGTCCCTGTCCCTTTCTCCCCCTCGTTCACGTTCTCGTTCACGATCTCCACCCCGTTCTCGTTCCCTTTCCCTATCCCGTTCACGATCACGATCACGACCAGGACTAGGACTAGGCGTAGGCCTCCTACTCGACCTCCCCGATCTCTGTACATATTGTCCCACCTCTCCGATCCCAAACTCCACCCCCCCAGGACCAGGTCCAGGACCAACGGTATACACAGGCGGAGGCGGCCTAAGCGTTCCACCCGAACTGGCAGAACCAATAGTCCCACTACCAAAGAGAGACGGCGGTGAGAGCACATCTTCAAAATCACCACTTTCAGGCCCATACCCGTAATAGTCGTAAGTGTCACCACCACCACCACTACCACCGGTACTACCAGACTGGGGAGGTTCAACCGTTATTGTTCCTAATCCCGTTGAGATAGTGGTAGCGGTAAGAGGTGGAGGAAGTGTAGCGGAAGGCGGAGGTGAAGGACCATCTGTTGGGAAAGGCGTAGGAACGCGTCGAACTCCTCCGGGGCTATTAGCTCTACGCGTCGTCATCGTAATCGTCGTCGCCGCTTCTGGTGCGGAATCTGCGGAAGAATTGGATTGTTCAGAGTATCCTCGTTGGATTTGTCCTGTGCCTTGTTGGATTTGTCCGGCTTGTTGTTGACTCCACCTCTGTTGTTGTTGTTGTTGTTGTTGTTGGAAGGCGGGTTGAAGATCCTCCCCACTTGGCGTACGTTCGATCGACTCGGCATACCATGACCTTCCTCCTCCCCCTAACCCTCCCCCTCCAGCCCTCCTAGTAGCAGTCGTACCCGTAGCCCAAGATCGGTGCGTCTCAGGTGAAGACGAAGAAGAAGGTTCTTGTCCCTCGCCTTCCGCGATCGGGAATAAATCCGGAGGACGGGAAGGTGGAGGAGGTGGCGGGGTATGATAGGGTGATAAGAATCGGCTGTTGGTGGTGGTGGTGGTAGTTGTGTATCGGTCGGTGGGGTTGATACGAGCGGATGTGGGGCCGCCGGGGGAGAGGGGAGGCATAGCTGGGATGAAGGGTGTTGTGTCTGGGGAGGTGTGGTCTTGTAGTCCGGGAGGAGTGGGAGTGGTGTTGAGGAGAGGAAGAGGTGTGGTGTAGAGGCCATAGCCGCCTGGGGGGTAGAGAGGGGACAAGTCCGCGGGAGAGATGGCGTGGAGGGATTGAGTTGAGGAACGGCGGAAGCGGGAAATGGGATCTTGTGGGGATGGCGGGATAACCGGGGCGAAGACCGGTTGAGAGGACATGAATGCCAGGGAGGGCGGGCCCGGTTGTTGTTGCTGTTGTTGTTGCTGCTGCTGCTGCTGTTGCTGTTGCTGCTGCTGCTGTTGTTGCTGTTGCTGCTGCTGTTGCTGTTGTTGTTGGTCGGGAGCAGTAGGGGCATAAGTTGGCGCCCAGGGGTATTGACCGTTCGCCATGGCGGTTTGTACGATTTGTTTGTATGTTTCATTCCAAGCTTCGTCTATACCGCCGTACTGGGAAAACGTGGATAGAATGAGGCAGAGGTATATGACGCCTATGGCGAGGAAAACGGAGACGATAATTTTGACGTCGAGGGGGATGGGGTAGAGGCCATGAAGTGGAGTTGTGCTGCCCGAGGTCTGCCAGACGACGGCCATGAGACAGACGACGAAGAGGATGAGGGACCAGGACAGCCAGACAAAGGGGAGGGAGAGGAGGACAAAGACGTTCCACCAAGCGCCGTTGTCTGGGTGAAGAGCGTCCTGAAGGGGTTGTGAGTGTCTGGAGTTGGCAAAAGAGAGATGACATACCCTAGCCCACTGCATTGCTTTGTGGGGTCTTCGCATCGTTTCGAAGCGAATAACGTACAAGCAGCCAAAGATGAGGCTCATGAGCGCGCTGATGAGGGACATGAGGGCCGTACACTGAACGAGAGGCGACCCTGCTCCCCCAAGTTGAAAAACGTTGTAAATGGCAGTGAGGAGCAGGACGGAGACGATGTTGAGTGTGTTCCATTCTTTGAGGGTGGAGTCGATAAAGTCGCTCCATGAGCGCTTGACTTCTTCCCAATGGCGTGGTCTGAGAGAATTGACTGTTGGACCACCAACATAGTGGGAAGCTATTTCG